TTATATTTTTCAGCTCTTTTTGGTTATTAAAAAGGATCATAAAAACTTGGGCTTTATAATGTACATTTAAATTTCCTATATAGGGTTGATGGAAGTATAAGGATTTATACAGACTATTTTGAAATTGTAAAAAAAAATATTCATCCAATGCAGTTTCACAAACACTGTTTTTTTTTAACCCATTAATCCTTGTGAATTATTAAGATTAAGGGATTTTAGTGTTAATTTGGGTCAATGTATTGTTCATGGTTATGTGGTATGACAAAGTTTTTTTTTAATATATATAGTAAAACATTTTTGGTACACTATAATTTAAAGTATTAAAATCCCATTTTATTCTACAATGTCATGATCCCAATCTTAAATATGATTTACTAGGTTACTTTCTCTGTGAGTTGTCTAAAACAATTTAAAATCTATTTCCAATACTATTACCTAAACCTTGCATATCAGCAAGTATAATATCAGCAATCAAAATGAGATCCTCTATAATTTGATTTAAGGTGTTGCTATTTTTTCACACCACAAGATGAGCGGTAGTTTCAAATTACAAAAGACATGATTCTCTTTAAAACTTTTCTATTAACAATTTATTAATTTCTTTTTTATAATTCTAACATTTTATCAAAGTAAATTAAGAAGCATAACCAACTTCCATAAAAAAAAAAAAAAAAATTAACTATTCAATTGTAAGTTTTTATGTTGTACATTCTAATGTTCTTAGAAGGGATTATGATTATATTATTTATCTCTTTTAGTGTAAGATTGAAAGAAGAGGAAGAAATAATTGAACTTTATTGATCTCACATTGGCGAAATTTACCTCTGCATTTAACCAATCCCCTTGGGGAGCAGTGGGCTGCCTTTGTGCGGTGCCCAGGGAGCAGTGTGGGGTTAAGGGTCCTGCTCAGAGAGCCAGAGTGGCGGTCTGTGGGAGTGGGGCTAAAACCTCAGGATTCCAAGCTCTATGCCCTAACCACTAGGCCACCACTCCCCTAGTAAGAAGATTGAATGACCGTGCAGGAAAACAGGAATGATTATGACAAGAACAGCTGAATAGAGGAGCGAAAAAAATCTACTTAGAAAACTAAAGCAGAGAACAGACAGAAGTCAGAAGAGAGTCAAAAGAAAAGAACCTCATTAACCAGCGAGGCACACCTGGTTTTATCAGCCTGTCCAGTAATTAAAGAATGGAAACCAAATAGCTGCTGAAGTTCAAGGAAGTAGTGGAGCTGTGAACAGAGCCCATTAGTGGGAGAAATTAATCTGCTTCTCTGAGATGCACAGGTCAATTAACAATAATAAACATACATCATCCTTTACCTGTAAGCTTTGACCAATTCTTGTTCATGATCCATCTTGATCCAGAAAAATTCTCACAAGTATATAGATGTGAACAGTACAGAAGAGGATTAGGGCCACTAAAAAAAAAAAAGTTAACTGATTTTTAAATATTATTTCAGTTTAATATGGGAAAATAGTCAGAATTCTGACTTTAATCTCAGAATTCTGACTTTTTTTCTCAGAATTCTAACTTTAATCTCAGAATTTTGGATCTTAATGTAGATGAGCACCATGAAGGAAGAGGTGGGAGCATCCAGGTTCACTGACAAAGATGTGAATTGTTTCATTAATGGAAGAGCAGAAGGTCATTTAAACAAGAGAGCAAATTTAGTCTCTAAAACAGACATGGCTACGGCTTGATGCTAACATGTTTGTTAGCTGTCATAATTCAGTTAGAATTCTAAGAAAAAAGTTAGTATTCTGAGATTAAAGTCAGAATTCTGAGAAAAAAGTCAGAATTCTGAGATTAAAATAAGAATTCTGAGAAAAAGGTCACGGTTCAGAGATTACAGTCAGACTTCTGAGGAAAAAAAGTCAGAATTCTGAGATTAAAGTCACAATTCTGAGAAAAAGGATAGATAGCCATAGGCTTAGGCTAAATGTTGGATAAATATTTGTATTTACTTTTCTGTTTTTTCTTTTCCTCATGTTACTCTCCCCTTAGGGGGCGGCAGAGCTCTGTAGGCCCCACAAAATTGGAAAGCCCAGGTAACCACCCAGGACCCCTCTACTCTCACCTCCACCTTTTTCCCCCAACCCACAGACACAGTTCTAGTTTTCTATTAATCATGCTATAAATTTATTGATTTTATTAATCGTAGGAAATATTACACAGTGTGGAGAAGCTCTCCAGGCTTTTACACGTGGTTTTTGTTGTTTGAATACTAATAAATATGTAAAAACAAAACAATTACTGTCTTGATTTCCTAAATTAAATCTTAATGATATGTATTTCTTTTTATGTACGAGATGGAAATGTTAACAAATTTGATTTCAGAAATATGACCTTAGCCAATGCTAGCTTACAAATAATGACCAGAAGGACGTTTGAAAAGCTTTTTATGTTCTTTACAATTTTCTTGCCTCTCAGTTATGCTATTGTTTTAAAATAATAACACAACTAATCAAAAAAAAATTGGATATTTAGTTTCACCTGTTTTTTTTTTTTTTTTTCTACCATTATTATGATAAAAATAGAAACTAGAAAGAAAAAATAAGTAATGGAGTAAAGTATAGATACCAAAAAGGGTACTTTAGTACAGTAACAAAGTATTTGTAGTTCGTTACTTGACACCTCTGTAGAATAGCAACAACATATACATTTGGGCCAGTATCAAAATATCCATTATTTATTGTGCAATTACTACCGATAACCAATATTTTTACTCTATTAATGACCACTCTGGTATTGATTTTCTGCTTTAACTGTCCCGCTATTCTAGGTGGGGTTATTCCTGGATATACTGGGAATAACCCCACCAGACTTTCTACCTACACTATAAAGCTAATGCTTAATTTATACATTTGAAAGTTTCACTTATAGTGAATGTAAATTAGAATCAAGATTGTAAATCTGTTGTGTCAAGCTTCCTATCCAATATATATTTAAAAAAAAATAATGGATGTATTGCTGAATAATACATTTCAATAAAATTTGTTGGTATTCCAGTTATTACAACCTTTACATACAGTTTTAGGTTTTTAAGTGTATATCTGAAAAAGAAAAACAGACCCCAGACCAAAGAATTTCATTTAATAACTTTCTTTTTTATAGGTTTCTGTAGCCGATAGTTTTTACATGTCAGTTTGTTGAGCTCTAACAGGTCAAATTTACACTGGAATGACACATAGCTTGTTGGGCAACAGTAAAAAGGCCTTTTTTAAGGAGATGTGACTCACAGATGCAATACCTTCCTTTAAAAATATCTCAGACAAAATACACTCTAAGGCATTGGCAGTTGATACACAAACACTATTAAGCTAGAAGACGGAGCAAACTGGTGGCAGGAGCACAAGTAGGAGTGAATTCAAACTCCTCACTTTTAATTCAACTTCTAGCTTCCACATTAGCGGAAATCCAAGACCAAGGAGAAGGAAGCACCGACACCTCAGCTCTTCCTCATCACCATTTGTGCGTCACAGAACAGCATTAAAATCAAAGCACCACGTACACATTTCCTACACCTCTGCTTCCAGTCCAGCCACATACAATGCCTCGTAAAAGCATTCACAATCCTGCAGCTCTTTTAACATTTGTCACAATTCAACCACAGACTTCCATGTATTTTATATTTTGGATTATTTACTTTTAAATATAAATCTGAAAAGTGTTGCAAGCATGTACATTCAATTCAATTCAGTTTATTTATAGAGCGCCAATTCACACATCACCTCAAGGCACTTTGCAACTAAAATAGATATATATTTATATTCCACTAAATCATATAGATTTCAAGTTAAGTAATAAGTAAATACATTCTAATTGACCCCAGTTATCAAACAATACAGTGAAAAGCTGTTTTGTTATTCAAATTGGTCAAAAGTTTACCATCTAAGGAGACCCAGCAGATTGCTCGAGCCACTGACTTGGTTTTCAAACCTCCTGGATGAGCATGTTGTGGACAGTTACTTTGTAGTACTACTACATCCTTCATACTGAGCATGCATGTAGTGACGGTGGAAAGGAAAACTCCCATTTAACAGGAAGAAATCTCCAGCAGAAGCAGGCTCAGCATGAGTAGCTATCTGATACAACCTACCACTACAGAGTAGGAACACTTTCTATGTATATCCAGTTCATTTTACTCTTATAGCACTAGAATAAAACTAGTGGAAACAACTCCTTTTAGAAGTTACCTAAGTATACACCACCTGTGCGTTATTTAATAGTACTATGATAACTTCTGTTTGTTAAAGAACATTAATTATTGAAAAAATGAATTAATATGGACAACCCAGAGTCAAAGCTGATACTTTCTGCCCACAGCTATATCAAGGGATCTTTTAAAAAAAAAATTGGATTGTTAAGAGTTACTACATCCATTTCCCCTTTGGTATAAAAAAATGCTGAATTTGAAATGTGTTTGAGAGCATGAAGAGCAAGCAAGACTGCAGACGGGTCAGAGTTAAAGCTGTGTCTGAAGGAGATATGAGCTATGCTTTTTAGTACTGTCCAAATACAAACAAAAGCTACAGCGTTTTGAAAACCATTCGTTCTCACTCTTCACCTCCATAAATATGCCTTTTGTTGTGTTGGTTTATAACATAAAATCCAAATAAAATACACAGAGGTTTGTGGTTGTCGGGTAACAAAATGTTTAAAAGTTCAAGTGTTAAATACTTTGTGATTTAAAATAAAATTTCATGACTAATGTTATTGAATTCAAGTTCTCGGTTATGTACTTTTGGCATGAAATGGTCAAATGCAGTCTGACACAATATAAACCTATTAAAAACGGAATTATATCAACTTGATGCATTATTATTTTTAAACCAACAAGACAAAGCCAGCGCTATCTGGCTGGCAGCCGACCATCTGGTGTAATCTCACTCCGTCATGAAGCACCAACGGGCTACGGAGTGGAAAAGAAAGGAGATTTGATGGTTGTAGAAACTCCAGTGTTTAAAACTCTTGACATGATCTCCTTTTTTTGGAGGTTTTGGCAGCAGTTATTTCCCAAGAAGTCCACAACGATGACGTTTGGTCCAGCAGAGATGTGAAGCCATGTTGAGGAGATAAAGTTTTTCCTCTACAAATAAAGAATGCAAACAGTCCAAGTGTTAATTAATGGAGACTTCTTGATCCGGAACAGGGAGCAGCTGTGAATTTCGGCTGTACAAGCTAAAAAATGAAGAGGTCGACTGTCTCGCCTCTCTGGCGTGTATGAAACCTAAAATAATCCTTAAGCAAGGACTAAAAAGCAGCAGGTGATCTGGATAAAAATAAAAAATAGATCAAAAACACTTTGATTAAAGATGTTTTAGAGATTCTGGAGTCCTTACAGATCATCTTTTCAAAATCTCTGGTATGAAGGTGCAAGTGTGATATAATGAGGTAAGAGGGGGATCAATAGGACAGAACTTCATTACTGTGAGGATGATGGATATACGATACTTTACCTATAAATCTATATAGTGTTTCTGTTTTTAACTTTATTATTTATAGGTTGTCAATTCATTGATACTTTTCTGATTTTATTTTGCCCTAAAATCCTCTAAATAATCCAATGGATCATCAAGCTTCAAGTGCTGTAGTGACTCGGAGTCATGAATATAAATATCTCTGTGCACATCAGTCGTCCTCGTCATCTTCCTCTTCGTCTTTGAGCTCCAGGTATTCCAGCCCTACGTCCTCATCATCTTCCACCTGAGAGTCCCTGCTTAGTTCCCCTTCATCCACTAGCCCATCTTCCTCCTCCTCTTCCTCTGCCAGCAGCTCCTCCTCGTCTTCCTCCAGGACGTCCCTCTCCTCTTCGTAGGAGGAGATGGGAGAGTAGTGTGGGAGGTCCAGCACATGCGGGCTGCTGGGAGCGTCGGAGCTGCTGTTAGACGGCGAGGTGCCGGCACCTACGACGGGGATGGTGATGGGCACCGGGATGGAAAAGGAAGAAAACGCCTCCGGACTCTCGCTGGCCTCCTTCACGTCTCTGCCACCGGTGCTGTCAGTCCGGCTGAGGCGGCTGGCGTTGTTGGCGGGATTGGAGGGAATGACGGCCATGCCCAGCCCCAAGGTGAGGGCGCCCGGTTCAGGCTGATACTCCCGGATCTCCCCCGGCTCCAGCGGCTCCGGACCACAGGGGTCATGCTCACTGCAGCACAGTTTCCCGTCCAGTTTGGAGATGAAAAGCAGCCCTTCGCGATGCTTGGAGCAGTAGGAACTGGGACACATCTCGCAGAAAGACGCCGCCTCCTTCCCGCATATGTCGCACTGATGCCAGGGACATTCCCAACGACCTTTTATAAACAGACAAGAAAAACAAGCTCTCACTTTTCAAAAAAACACCAATGCTCTAGGATTTTCTGCTAAATGCAGAATTCAGATAATAAAATGGAATTTATTAGAAAATATAAAATCTCATAGGATTTGCTTATTTGGGTTCTATATACCTCTGAGAGTTGGAAGAAGTAAAAAAAAAACTATTTATTGGGAAATGTGGGCAAAGCATTAGTTTATGGCCTTTATGTTTCTTTATGAGACACTTTTATGTTCAGGACTTTTAAGGATACCATATAAAGAATGTTTTTGTTCTATATAAAATTGTGAGTAAATACGTTTACATATGTTGCAAAAGTATGTAATGTTCTGCTGAAATCAGATTGTTATATATATATGAAACATTTTGAATCTTAAAATAAAAATGGAAATAGTGGAATTTTGGGAAAGATAAAATGGATACGATACTGTTTAATGTTATTGGTGTTTGAAGATGTTGGGTTGTGCACGGCTCTACTAAGGGGGGCAATCACAGCGCATCAGAAAAGCAGAGGTTTGGACTTTGACAGGACCAGTACAAAAGGTTTTCTTGTTTCTTCAGCCTTTGTGTTGTAAGCTTGATGCTGTTTCCAAAACTAGCCCCTATCACCACTCTTCCACCATCGTGCTAAACAACTGGTATGAGTTGTTGGGACTGATTTGCTTGTAGAAGCCTGAAGTGACTGACCTGCAGGCCTCTTGGTGAGGTTTAAGCAGTCTGCATGGTAGACTTTGGGACATCCTGGCTTCTTGCAGGAAACCATCTGGCCTCCGTCTCCACAGCTGAAACACTCGTCCTCCCTCTCTTTGGTCAACACAGCCTTCTTCTTCCTCTTGCCATAGCCTCTCCTCCTCAGCTTTCGGCCTTTGTCTTCAGATGGAGGGTTGTTCTGTGTGGAGAGCATAGTGGTTGCACATGTATTTCTGCACATATTTAAAGGAAGGTACCACATTTTCCCTCTGGTAACTCACCTTTGGCCTGACTCCCAGAAAGCCGCTGCAATTTGGGGATCCGCATTTACACACAGTCTTCCCATTCCCCAGGCACTCCAGGTTATAGTTGAAGGTGAGTTCTGTGCCTGAAGAATAAATAAATCAAACATGTCAAACTTACACTGAAACCTCTACAGGGCATTCAAGTATACAGTACATCTTTATTTTAAATGTTGATTCTTCAATTTCCATTTTACTAATTTTAGAAGTGAAATAAAGAGGTGGACCTGCAGTGATGTCGACCAGAGCAAACAGTCCCACCCTTGTGTCCCCGCTAACTGTCCACTTCTGTGTCTCACAGTTCGGCTGGCAGCTGTGGTTCATGAAGCGAGCCTCGTTTCCCTTTGGTCCGGCATCGATTATTCGGTCCTAAAGCACACAAACATTGCAGCTGTAGAAAATCTTTTGTTTTACCCATTTCAGAAACTCCATGTTCTTTGACTAAAGAAAAAAACTCTTACTTTTGAGTTGCTCTCCTTCAAAAAAACACAAACAACATATATTACCTTATATAGTGTGGGCTGGTTATTTTCAGTGATGGGAGTAACGGTGTTGAAAGTAACGGCGTTACTAACGTATCTTACGGGATTTATAGGCCCCCCTGATATCATTTACGTTGAGTTGCAATAAATGCAAAACTCTCTGCAGGTTCTTGTCTTTGTCTATTCAGCTGGCTTTTGAAACACACGGCGACAAGGTGGGGGCCGGGTGGTGAGGGTTACGGGGGCGAGAAGCGCAAAAGTAACGCAATAGTTACTTTTACTTGTAACTACCGTATTTTCACGACTATAAGGCGCACTTAAACGTCTTTTTTTTTCCTCAAAATGTGCGGTGCGCCCTATGGTGCGGTGCGCCCTATGTGTGTTGTAACTGCGACTTTTGAGACCACCTCATTGAGGAGATGATGAAAGAGTGGCTGAATGTAAGGAGACCAGGTGTTTTTTTTTTCCACCCCTCACCATCGCTGTTAATATGTAACTCCATGCGTTCCCATCTCACAGCTGATGTGAAAAACATGGGGAAACAAAGGTGCAGCAGAAGCAGCGAGTTTACATGCAAAGTCAATGGTTGACGCGCATATAGGTGCAGCAAAAGGTCCTGCAGCGCGTTTTGGTGCAGCACGTCGGGAGCGTTTAAGCATCTGACGCACCGCCAACGCGCTGCTGCTGCTCGACATGGAAAAATTTAAGTTTTGCTGCTGGACGCGCCGCATCAACCAATCAGAGAAGCTGATCTGGGAGCTGACAGCGAGACAGTACAGCGCTCTGATGACATATGATATTAACGCAAATGAAAAGGCTGGATCGATGAGGAGATGATGAAAGGCAGGTGTATGTGAGGAGACTAGGTGGTTTTTTCCACGCATCACCATCGCTGCGTGCCCATCTCACAGCCGATGTGAAAAAAAGATGAATCAAATGAACGCTGTGCTCGCCTTTATCCCGGGGGTCTGACAAAGGAGCTTCAACCGCTCGACATCGGTTTGAAGCGGCCGTTCACAGTAAGGCTGCGAGCGGCGTGGGAGCGATGGATGACCGACGGAGACCACAGTTTCAGGATAAGAAGGCAGCGCCGGGCAGATTACGCCACCGTTTGCGGATAGATTGTAGATGCTTGGACTAAAGTGTCTGCTGGCTCTGTTGTTCAAGCTTTCGCAAAAGCCGGCATTATTTCTGAGGAGCTGCGCTGCACGGAAAGTGACTGACAGCGAAGAAGGGGAAACTGGCATGTCTGATTTAGCGCAGCTGTTTTATTCAGAAACAGAGGATGATGACTTTGATTAATACTTTGTAATAAATACATGAATAAAGCACAAACATACTCAGTTTTGCTCCCGCTCTATTTTTCTACCTAAAAAACTTAATTCAACAGCCGCCTCTGGGCCGCAGCGCATCGGGCTCACCTCAGCAGGTGTTTTTTCATCTAAATAATCTAAATCTTTTTAAGTGAGAAAGCCCACCGGAAAATTTAATCATTGCAGTCAGTTCATCCAGATTATTATCCTGCCTATGTTTTAAGTTAATTTATGCGTCAATAAACGAAGAAGGGGGAACTGGCATGTCGGATTTAGCGCAGCTGTTTAATTCAGAAACAGAGGATGATGACTTTGATGGGTTTGATTAATACTTTGTAATAAATACATGAATAAAACACAATCATACTCAGTTTTGCTCCAGCTCTATTTTTCTACCCTAAAAAACTTAATTCAACAGCCGCCTCTGGGCCGCAGCGCATCCGGACTCACCTCGGCAGGTGTTTTTTCATCTAAATAATCTAAATCTTTTTAAGTGAGAAAGTCCACCGGAAAATTTAATCATTACAGTCAGTTCATTCAGATTATTATCCTGCCTATGTTTTAAGTTAATTTATGCGTGAATAAACGAAGAAGAAGGGGAAACTGGCATGTCGGATTTAGCGCAGCTGTTTAATTCAGAAACAGAGGATGAGGACTTTGAGGGGTTTGATTAATACTCTGTAATAAAAACATGAATAAAGCACAATCATACTCAGTTTTACTCCAGCTCTATTTTTCTACCTGAAAACTTAATTCAACAGCCGCCTCTGGGCCGCAGTGCATCGGGCTCACCTCAGCAGGTGTTTTTTCATCTAAATAATTTAAATCTTTTTAAGTGAGAAAGTCCACCTGAAAATTTAACCATTGCAGTCAGTTCATCCAGATTATTATCCTGCCTATGTTTTAAGTTAATTTATGCGTCAATAAACTGTATCAGAGGAGTAATCACAGCCCTGTGTCATCAGCGATGTGTCTCTCACGGCCGGTTCCCAGGTTTTAATAACACTTTGTAATAAATACACCTTGCAGCTTTATTTGCTGTGATCAGTGGGAATAAAGTAGTTTTAATATGTTTTTAAGTGAGAAAATCCACCTGAGAGGACATGTACCTGTATATAAAAAACGCGCCCTATAGTCCGGTGCGCCTTATGTGTGTGTTAAATACAGAAATGGCACACATAACTGAGAGTGCGCCTTTTAGTCCGGTGCGCCTTATGGTCGTGAAAATACGGTAGTTACTTTTATTGTGGAGTAACTCAGTTTGTAACTCAGTTACTTTTGGGGGGAAGTAACTAGTAACTATAACTAATTACTTTTTCAAAGTAATGTGGCCAACACTGGTTATTTCTCAAACATTTAAGGAGGCATGAACATATCTAAGGCTAATATACAGCCATAGTTTAATACAGCTTAACATAGAGAAATAGCAGCTAATAAACAAACGTCTGTATCTGTGCACTTTATTGGCAAACAAACTGACCTAAATAGGTGATATTTAAGAACAGACCATGTACCATTCACAGTCATCTACCTGCTTGGGAAAGTTGCATCATGTAGCAGGTTACCTGAATGATTCACCTTTGTCTAAATGTATCCAGCATTAGAAAAATAAAACAACTCGTAAGAGTTGTTGAAGAGATATTAGCTAAGGCTTAGTTCAACAGCAGAGACCGTCTGGCCACTTATTGCTCTATTATATGTAGGGATGGGAATCGAAAACCGGTTCCTGTTAAGAACCGGTTCCGTATTTTCCGATTCCATGGCATCGTTTGGCAGCTCGCTGAATGATTCTTTTTTCGATTCCCGCAGCACCAGAGCCTAGAGCGCCGGCTCTGGGGAGCACGACTTACGTCACGTTTTTTACGTAAGTTACGAAAGTTACGCAAGTTGGAAGAACTATTCGAGGAGGAAGACAACGAGCTGCGGTCACTTTCTGAATCAAAGCCCCGTCTTTCCTTAGCCCAGAGGGTAGATCAGGAAATCCAGCTCTATAAAAGCTTGCCCTCCATCCCCTGCAGGGATAGCGCCACACTGTGGTGGTGGAACAAGCAAGATACGCTGCCCTTGCTATCTGGACTGGCTGAAAACTACCTCTGTGTGCAGGCTTCCTCCACCTCATCTGAGAGGGTGTTCTCCACGGCTGGAGACACCTTAAGCCCTGAAAGATCCCGTATCCTTCCAGAAAAGCAGATATGCTCATCTTTCTGCAAAAGAACTGTTAATTTTCCCTACTACTGTTTTATAATTAGTATTTTTTGTTATTTAAAATAGGTTATAATCCCATCATTTGTTATTAGACATTGTTTGTTATTAAGTTTGTTCTTGTATTCATTTTTCATTTAAACACAGATGTTACTCCAGTTTCACATTTCCTGTGGACATCTTGATCTTGTTGAGTTTGTAAGATTGTGCAATAGTTAAGTAAACAAAGTTGATTCTGATAATCAAACTGTTTGTTCTCCTTTTCCCCCCAAATTGGAATCGAAAAAAGAATCGATAAAGAATCGAATCGTTTCATAGAATCGAAAAGGGAATCGGAATCGTGAAAATCTTTTCAATTCCCAACCCTAATTATATGGTTCCATCTGGTCATATGTAGGTCAGGTTACTTTGCTGGCCAATCATGCAATAGCTGCAGTCATATTCTGTATGTGCTTTTGAATGGGCTCATCTAAAGATTTTGGCTTTTCTAATTGAATTGAGCTAAATTAAAATCAAATTCAATTCAAAAATACTTTGATGTTCTCAAAGCAGAACTTTTAGTTTTGGTCAATCTTGGGTCCCCCCCAGTGAAGAAAAGCTATATTGTTTTGCACGAAGGAAGACAACATTTCCCAGGAGCACCAGGGCATTGTGTGGTAAAATCCTGAACTCTGAGCTGCTTGCTGTTGGATTGCACTACATTTCTGTTTCTAGTGGATGTGAAAGATGAATAGCAATGAGGTAACGAATCTCATCAGGGTGGAACGATAAGGAACTAGTAAGAAAGTCGCATCAACTTCCGTCTGTATAACGAATGGGGAAAGGGGGAAATGAGATAGTAAAATAAGAGTTTACTGAGGATCCAAAGAGTACATTCATGTTTTTTGTTGGTTTAATTTTATTTTACATAATATGTCGCTCTGCTGATCAAACGTTAGCATCAAACACAAAAGGATATCCATATTTTTTCGTGTGTGTTTGTGTGTGCTCGCTGTCAAGGTTTCTATCTTGACATCACCTAAACCAATGTCACATGAGGAAGCAAACAGATGAGTCCATGTATATAAAACCCCATTTCAAGTAACTCTCACACCATGATAAAAGATTCTTATGAGAGGTATCTTGAAATTCATTATATCTTAGACAGAGTTTTTCCATCAGCGATTCCTCTTCTTCAAGCTACATTTTGGAAGCGATGAATAAGCACAGAATATAGGCAGAATCGTCCCTCTGGGAAAGTGTAGTTGTACCCGACACCCTCTCCTTGGGTCGGATCCCCTCCAGGAGTCCAAATACTTTTAGCTGGAACCGTTCAACCTTACACTAGAGCTTCAGCTCTTTACCTGCCAATGAGGTGCCATTCCATTTCCCTAAAGCCAGATTGTGTCACTAGGAATTAAGCAAAGGAAACCACCTAACTTGGATGGAACCTCTC